GTTACCACACATATATTAAGATACCACATTGAAACATTTTACTTGCCAAAAGAAGGCTGAACAAAATACCGATTAAAGAACAAAATGCATCAAAAGACACCGATTACTTTGCCAGTATCTAGTAGTCTCATCGCTAACTTATTAAGCGAAATTGACTTTATGGCAATGTATTTTATATTTCTAGATATTTTATTAAAGACACGTCTTCTGAATTATCAGAGCAATTTTTTTTTTCTGCATCGATTCCGGGTCAAACGCCTAAAGTCTAAAGATCAGTCATAGCGATTGGCGTCGACTGCGGCTTAAGTGTATTCGATGAAGAAATATAATATGCATATGTGAAATATTTAAAGCATCTTAAAATTATGGTCAATCAGGAAAAATAGTTATATATCGAGTATATACTCTTACGGTGAAGAAAAACATCGCGAGGAAACCGGCACGCCAAAAAGTCTACGACTTGTGCCAGGCAGAGGGCTGATTACCTATTAGAAAAACAAATGATCACGAAACTAATACAGAAATCCCAGGCCTAGGCCTAAAAGGTTGTAGCGCCGCTGTTTTTTTAAAGTTATGATAATAATATCTCAATATAATATGTTATCGTAGTTCTTGGTTTAATTTTATACTTAAATCGGCATCACATTTTTATATTGTTTTCCTCTCTTTCGAATTGGCTAGAAATGGCTTAGTACAGGTGTCACTTTGAATACTTATTTCTTCAAATTATATTTCTCGTTTAGTGTACGATTAATAAATAATGATGACTAGATACAAGTACCAAATTATATGTCTAGCGCTTGTGTAACGCTACGGGGCGACACTGAAATTGCTTTCACATCTCTCATTCAAGCCAGCGCAATGAGACTCTTAAAATATCACTCTTGTAATGACTGAAAAACTAAAAATACTTTCGGAGGGCAAGAAGTAATGTTTATTTTGAGACGTCCGTGAACTTTAATGAGCAATTTGTAGTATGTGTTTTGAAAATATTTACGTAAAGAAATTTTAATATCACCTTTATATTTAAAATCACTAATATTTACCGAAACTTTATTATATTTTTTAGAGACTTGATGGTACAATTCTTCGTATTTATTATAAATTACAAATTTATCAAAATTGAGTGGTGATCGGTTTTACAGGGAAGCCCTGCTGGCACACCAAAGTAATAAAATACATGATTGGTTATAAATAGCCAAAAATGCGTCAATAAACAAGTCCAAAGTCCAAACCGTTCAATTTGAGACCTTAAGGAAGGCCCCAATTTGAGGTCGCTAATTGAATCTAATTCTACTTTAATAATTACGAGGGAAGATTTTTTATTGTCCTTTTCCCATTTGTTTCAATTATGTGTTAATGTTATAGCTGGATATCCTGATTACAACTGACACGCGTTAATTTGCGTACAAATATGTACTTTCACATCAAACTGTGCAGTTATGAACTACGCTCTCATACGAGCTAAGAATGTTTCATTATTACTTTAAATTGTAGTGATCTGTGTCACTTTGACACTTTGTCACACATTGCTTAATACCATGGGGTTGCGTAGAGATGTGGATATTCTGCTTCTTCTACCAGATCTACCTTGGAGAGTGTTCAGAGGTGTTGTTCGGATTGATACCTGCATCTGAGTTTCGGCATCGGGCGTCGAGCCTTGAAATGGACGTCCGTAGTTCAACATTTAATTTTAAAACCTCCACAATAAACGCAATGAACCCATCAACTGGGTCGAACGTTGTAAACTAAAATAAAACTATAAAAATAATATTTTTTTTAAAAACAGCTTTAATCTGTGGCTATAAAGATAAATGGAATGTCACCGTACTGCCACGTGTGAAGTATCAGATTATGTAAAAACGATAATCGAAAACGTTGATCATTATCTACGCCCATACTATGGAATAGCATTACGGTAATAAAATGTTAATAACTTCCAGTTGTGGTATTTTGTTCATTCATTAAAGCAAATGAATGAGTGGCTACAGGTCCGCCCACGTACACGCAAACCTTTGAAGCGTCAATGTATGGGATTTGAATATAGTTTGTATTGACTGGACCACTAGGTCATTCATAGAATACTAATTCTAGCGGGAAATAGTGGTGATTCTGAATTAATAATAATAAAAGCTTGGTTCATTTCCATTCATTGTAAAAAGTTGAATATGTATATACAGCTTAATTATTTTTGTAACATATGTTCACATTTTTTTAAGCTTTATATTCTATATCCTAGCTACCTTCAGTACCGTCCATTGGAAGTCCGTCCGTGAAGGGGTTCACGGGTAAACGCCTCCTCCAACTTTGTATCTCTGTCCATGGATTCTGAATTAGACTAAAACAAATAATAATATAGTTATAGTGCTTTTGCAAAAACATGATAAAAATTTGATGAATAATGAACACAAATAGTATCTACTAAGGTACTGTCGGTACTATTTTAAAAAATCTGTTTGACGGTCGGAAAAAATAAGTAAGAAGTACAGGCAATAAAAAGGAAACTAAGTTTTAAATGCCTCCATCACACTGTGATCTAAGCCCAATAAAAAATAATTTAATAGCTTGCCACAGGATATTTTACGCTTGAAGCCGATCGGACAGTATTTTCTCCATCGATTGAAACATTCCACCGAATGCTGTTCAGTAAGAACATGCAATACAATAAGATAATGCAATAATTAATGAATTTAAGAGTTTTACATCGGAATTCATTAACAAATTTAAAACGATTTACTTTCCAAAAGGAAACGATTTTCGTTACAAAATCAATAAATATAAACATCACACACCTATTAATATAAACCGGAGATATTTACCATCCTTTCTTACCACCAAAGATACTTATTCCATCATATTTTAATTACCTTGGTAGACGTGACCAGCCGTGGTTTACATTACGACTTCTTTTATTAAAATTGCTATTAAGACGTTCTTTATTATTGTCCGAAAAGAATACAATGCGTTATACAATTTAATAACGATCTAAAGTCACTAATGAAAGTGGCTTATACCATTGTATTCCTAATTAAGTTATCAATAGACCTTGGTCTTGACAGCCCACCCACGGCAGTCTTACAAACAATCCTAAGTATTAATAAAAATATGACTAGTCGTTACTTTTTGAGTTAATTGTTGATGTATATATGAATATAAAGAGCAGCGTTGGCCTAGTGGCTTCAGCGTGCGACTCTCATCCCTGAGGTCGTAGGTTCGATCCCCGGCTGTGCACCAATGGACTTTCTTTCTATGTGCGCATTTAACATTCGATCTAACGGTGAAGGAAACGTGTGTCAGGCACTGGAGGCTGATCACCTACTTGCGTATTAAATTGAAAAAATTATCATGAAACAGATTCAGAAATCTGAGGCCCAGACCTAAAGAGGTTGTAGCGCCACTGATTATTATTATGAATACAGAATCTAAAATGAATATACTTTTACATTATAATATGCAGAGCTTTTGAGTGACTTTCCGATTGTATTATAATTCGAATAAAATATAAAATATGGTTGCCTAGCAACGCTATCAACTAGAACAGCAGTATTTATATGGAGTAAGATTTATTCACCTAGTAATTGTAACATAATTTTTTTTTTCACTAACAATTCTAAATAACATATTTTTATTATTTATACAATGTTTTCCTTCACGGCAAGTGTTTTACGGCCTAAGCCAATTGGTCAGTACGACTTACATAATATACATATTATATCCCGGTGGTCTCAGCTACTTAGGAAGTTTTTGATTAACCATCAATTCAAACTTGTGCTGCACCGAGCCGAGTGAAAATTTAAGATCGACTTACAATTTGCGTTTCTTAGAAATATTAATGCGCGTGTGTTAGTGTTATTCCAATAAACATTGTACACAGATTTATCGCATTACTCTTGATCATTTGCGACATCGGACACTGTTAAATAATTCATACATTTAATGGACATTTTGTGACGCTAACGGGTCACGAACCAATAGAAGTTTTGTGCCTAGTTAGAAACTATTATTTTGTTTGAAATTTCGAAAAGTAATTCGTAATTGGAGAATCTATGATTGGTGGTTTGAAAATCTGCCCATTTTGGTGCTAGTACGCTCATAGATCGAGTGGATCTATGTAGGGGTAGACACGATGGCCTCGCTGTTACCTGGTCCCGTCCAAAGGCGAAATGGCTCGGTAGGGTTTAAGTGGGTAGGGTCTAGGTTATAGGGTAACCGAGACCCAAATTTCCCTGGACATACAGCCGCGTAGGGTATGCGCAATGGCATTTTCCCACGATAAGTAATAGGAGACACCACATAATCCAAATTCTCACTAAAACTAACTTAAATTGAATACAAAAAACTAAAACATCTGTGATATTACTTCTATAGTTTTTTAGATTTTTATCAATTGACGCTTTGTATAATCTATTATAAATTAAATTCAATTACTCTTCGTCGACTATTGATATATCAAAACGTACCTACATCATCATTGGAAAATTTTTATATATCGAAATCGATGTATCATCTGATTATCTTAACATCTTAAAAACTAGTTCTTACAAGTACCGTATAGGCTTCATTGAGGTTGCTTCCGGTCAGGTTACGTGGGCGTTGTCGGCGCCTCGCAGCCTCGTGTGATTATAATTCATTCAAAGACTAGTCAATGGAATATCTATTGTCTTTTAAGATGCCTACAGATTGTATCAAATGTAAAATATATCGTCGTTCGTTATTTAAAATGTGTCATATATTACTGATTGTATTCAACATTACTAGGAATCTGCGAACTAGTCTAGATTATAAAGGTGGTGACTCCACTGTAGATCACACATTTATGCGTCTGATATATCAATATTATTGCGAGTAAACGGTCAAAGAATGCTAAATTAACTTAAAAAAATAAGTGTTACGTAAGTTACACCTTACCTTTAAGAAAATAAAATATAACTAGTGACAGTTCTTAAAAACAAAACAACTGAAACTTCAAGTTGTTAAATCAGAATTGCTAATATTTGTCTATGCAAAATTTAAAAATAGCAATTCTAGGAAACCTTGGGAGTGTTGTGTCAACATTGGCAATAGACAAAGACCTAAGTAAACTGAAAACTAGACATTGAGTCATAAAACACTAGAATTAGAGCTAGCACGATTCGGCTGTGTAAATTAGCTGTTGCGTGATGTCACGTTAACAGATAACTAAGAACCACTGACATATTTATTACAATTGACTCAACAGGATATCGGCTTCAAGTAATTCGATAGTCTGTTATCACGTCAATCAATGTTGCCAATTTCTGATTGTCTATAAACAGTCTTTCGTTTATGAACTATGGTATCTGGAAATTATGTTCCATTTTTGAAATGTATAATTCAATTTGAATCTGTACTTACAAATTTAATAATATTCGGTTATTACAAAGGTTAACAACCAAGCTATTTGCTCCCTCGTCCTGGGAGCAGTGGGAACAAAATTGAAGGTTAAATAATGCTTTAGAAAAATTTTAATAAAGTTTTGAACTAAATCTATCAATATTTAATAATCTAACCGTTAGAAACTTGAACCCCAAAATCTGATATAGTCATACATTTTCACTGGACCGCATAGTCATACTACTCAAATACCTATAAAGAAAAATGCATGTTTCAACAAAACTCGTTATTAAGCGAATTCCAAGTGAAATTGGAATATAATTTTTTGTTTATACTAGCGAGTTTAATTACGTATTAAATCGTTAAATTAGGTCAAACTTATACATCGTATATTATATGATTTCAATTTTCAAGGATACGTTCACATCTGTACATTTATAATAACTATTTTTAGACCTTGTTATTAAGTGAATAACAATGACAACTTGGAGATAGAGTTAGACAAAAAAATAAAAGTAGCCTGTCCCGACTTTGTAAGTCTGTTTTTTTTTTAATATATGGAATATATATACTAATAACAGGATCCTACCACTGCACTTTGTACCTAATCACCTTAACATTGCCAACCAATTATTATCTTATCTTTATCTTTGATCCATTACTTAACATCTTTTTTACTAAAGCAGGTATCATATTATTAATATAATGAATGTTGACGTTCGGGTGGACGGAGACAATGTGACGAAGACGTTCTGTTCCACCGTCACATAACTTTTTGTAGTTTTTTACAAATAAATAAAGAAATTATAGTGACACATTTATAGGTGAAATATTTTTTTTAATCGGGTCAGAAGTTTATTCGTTACAAATATTCTGAATACAAATCATTCCTCTCTATACTATTAGAAAAACAGTATGTGAATTAAAGTTCAAAGCAGTGTTGGCCTAGTGGCTTCAGCGTGCGACTCTCATCTCTGAGGTCGAAGGTTCGATCCCCGGCTGTGCACCAATCGACTTTATATTTGCGCACTTAACATTCGCTCGACGAAGGAAAACATCGTGAGGAAACCGGCTTGCCATAGACCCAAAAAGTCGATGGCGTGTGACAGGCACAGGAGTCTAATCACCTACTTTCCTATTAGATTGACAAATGATCTTGAAAAAGATACAGAAATCTAAGGCCCAGATCTAAAAAGGTTGTAGTGGCACTAATTTATTTATTAAAGTTAAAAGCGATGTTTCTTAACAATATAACACATAAAATCTATTATTACGGGTAGTCAATAAATAACTGTAGACATGAATGACGGTTTTAATAATATTAATAAATTATTTATTACATTGCGCATTGAATCAATAGAGGTCCAGTTAATGTTACTTGTGTAACTGTTCTATAATTTTCTTGTCGAAGTTTCTGTTCAACGTTATTTATTATACCAATTGGTCTCGATAACGTGTTAAATAAGATATATCGAGTTATTAAAATGTTGTGAGTGAAATATCAACTTTCATTATAAAGCTCACAACTTTCGATGTCTATTTTAAAGAGGTTTATTTGTTTAATAAAAATAGATTTATGTATTAATAATTATAATACTTGTATTATATATATATATATGTCATCGGAATATAACACAATTCGCAAGTTTATAAATTTCCTAGGGAATTTATAAACTTTAGTGACTTATTCAACCAATCACACGCCGTTTGGTTATCGCTTACTTATTATTTTACGCGTGAGTTCGGTAAGTTTATCAATTTGCGAAAATGTGGGCGTAAAATAATATAATTTACCTCTCGTTTAGGATCCTACGAAACTTGCGGATTTTGTTACATTCCGGTGACATATATACTATATATACTACACAAAATATAGAGGAGGCCCGAGGTTCGTCGTTCGTGTTCGAAGCCTGTCTGGTCATAAAGGAAAACATAGTGGTGAAATCAGCTCATCTAGAAAATTTAAAAAGAAATTTCAGAATACGGAAATATTACAGCGGAACATTGGGACTAAGATCGAACATACCTATAGTCGTATTATAAATCTTATGAAATTATGGTTAATCTTTAGCCAACAAGCACTAATAGTTAAAACTATTACAAAATGTTCTGTAGCAGAGATTCTATGCGAATTAACCCACAACTCGTTAAAAATTAATTGCGTGCAATTGTGAAAACAAAGAAATTCAACTATTAATTACAGCGGTGATTTATCATGGAGGCATTGAAAAATGTTCTATTCAAATTTCGTTTAAGAGCCTAAGGGCAGGCTCGTTATGTGACAATAAGGAATGGTGTCACCGCATGAATTTTTTTCAGTTTCAACAACTATGTGGGTTAAGCTTTGCGAGCTGGTTTACGTAACATTTAGGTTACAAAGTGCTCTTTGTTAATCAATATAAAGAGATTGAATACCGGAAATATTTCAGCATTGATATTTATAACTAATTTAAAAAAACATGTTTTTTGGGTGTGCAACTGTGCAACGCAATATACAACACTCAATTATTTGAGGGGTAGAATAGACTGGATCTGCTTCCAGCTTAGGCTGTAGTGCCTGAAAATTATTTCATATCTCGAAAGCATGCTGTTTGATCGGGTCTAATGAGTTTCAGCGCTGAGTTTCATTATCGGACGTCAAGGCAAAATACAAAATACTATCCGTATCACCTCGACGTCCGTCGTTCCACAACTGAGCGTTTTCTAAGGCACTATGTGGACCCAGCTGCCCACTGAAGTATTTCCAAACCAATTCGACTTAGGGTCCTTCAAGAAAAGAGCGTACCAATTCTTGAAAGGCTGGCAACGCACTTGCGAGCCTTCTGGCAGTGTGTCCATGGGCGGCGGTATCACTTAACATCAGGTGAGCCTCCAGCCGTCACCAATTTCGCGTATGACTTCCTAACGGTTTCCTGAGTTCCGCACTGCAGTGGGTATATTTGCGACAGGTCTGGGAAAACTGAGGGATGAATATTTTTATTTTCAAACAATAATATATTTTAGTAGTACTGTAAGTTAGTCTAATTGTTGGATTGTTTATCTGTAAAAATATCAATAAATCACAGCGTAATTAACAACCATTTAGGAACTATATATTCTACCACGCTCTTGGTTCGACGGCGTTCTGTACCCGTGTGCAATATCCACCAAATTTCATTTTTAAATACATTCCCTAATTCATTGCATACCTATGAGTAACTTTTTTATACAAAACTATATAACTGGCATGGCGTTAGTCTCGGCACATAAGTTGGTCATATTTTGTTCCGTGAAAAAAACTTCCCTGTCTCTTTTTGAATATTGTTTTACTAATAAAAGTAACCTACATCCAATAAAATCTTAAACAATCTATAAAAAGAACAAACTGCGTTATTCGTTCATAAAAGGGATTTCAGTCAACGTCCGCGGAGGGATTAGTACGAAATGAAATTCCTCGGAGCTTTGAAATAGGAGCGTGGCTGCGCTGTCATGGGCTCGATAAATATCATCTTAATGAGGTTGAAGGTGATATACCAGACGAAAACCGCCTTTATTTTTTAATGATATTTTTTACGAGATATATGTATTCAAATAAAGACAATCTTGAACTTTTCGTTTTGTTTTTATTGTGTTATCTAACAGACGTATACCTATATAATATTGCTTTTATTTACTCAATTCAATTTAACCCAATTGAATTATTTCGTTTATAATCCTTATAGGCTTGAAAGGCTGGAAAGCGTAAGAGTAGTTAATACTATGATACTGGTTTTATTTGTTTAACAAAATAAGCTACCATTACTCTAATGCGGTAACTTTTTCCATTTACATCACATACAAAAAAATACAACAAAACATTTAACAGTCATAGATTAAAATATTTACAAAGACTATTTCTTACAGTATAGGAACTGACATGAAGCAGACCTTTTGTCAGTTCACTCAATGGACAATTAAAAACGTCTGTTAATCTATGTAGTTTTGATGAAAGATACCAGCTTTAACTCTTTAATATATATACCGATAGCGCTACAACCTTTTAAGTCTGGGGCTCAGATTTTTGTATATATTCCGTGATAATGTCTAATAGGAAAATAGTTGATCAACCTTCTGTACCTGAAACACACCGTCGACTTTTTAGTTCAATGCATGTCGGTTTCGTCACGTTATCCTTCACCCTGGGAGCGAGTGTTTGATGCGCACAAAGACTAAGCATTGGTGCACGGGGATCGAATCTAAACTCCTGGGAAAAGAGTCCACGTTGAAAGCACTAGGCCAACACTGCTCATAACTCGTGTAGCTCTTTAGTAGCCCAAAAACCACACCAAATGATAAAATCTTTAACTCTTCTGACAATTTACTTTCTCCATTGTCTCATTGTATCGATATTTATTATCGACTTTAGTTATTTAAAGATTAACAATAAATACTTTGCTGAAAAATAAGACTTTTTGGTTTAAAAATCGACCGAACGAAAAACATATCAAGCCAGAACTTATATATGGGTTCGCGGCTTGCTATCTCTTGTCTGCCTTAAAAAAACCACTTAACATTGAGACCAAAAACCATTATTCAGAAGAACGGAACAGTCATTGATCAACAATAGTAAGCCACAAGATTTCTCTTTGACACATTTTTCAATAATAATATTTTGTTCTCATTGTTAAGCTTTTTTGTAAATGCAAATAATATAACTATAAATGAGATCGATCAAAAGTTGCTCGTAAAAAAATTTTACCTCGAATAGCCCAGACGCTCATTTTGATAAGAATTAAATGTAGATCTGTGCTTTTGTTATCAGGTTATTTCGGCAAGTATTTGAACAAATACAACGGATCCTACATACCGCCAGGATGGCGTGAGTGGGGTGGCCTCATCATGAACTCCAAGTATTACAACTACAGCATCAATATGAATGGAAAGAAGATCAAACACGGCGATGACTACTTTAAGGTAAAATTTCTTACATCAACGTTGACTATCTTTTAAGTTAAGGTAGGAATGTAAGAAGCTGATAAGACTGCTATCGGCCTGCTACCGCATCCCGCATATATCCTCTCCATTTAAGCGATTCTTAAATAACATAAATAAATATCTTCGTTCGTTGGTTCGTAGTGCTGTGTTTCCCAACGTGGAGCCCACGGGGGGGGCATTTTAATTGATAAGGTCTTCGAAAATTTATTACAATTGTTTTCGAATTTCAGTTTTTCATGTTTGTAATTTCTTCCTTAAGTTTCTTCTTATTTTTTATTTTTTTTTATAGAAGAGGGGGCAAACGGGCAGGAGGCTCACCTGATGTTAAGTGATACCGCCGCCCGTGGACACTCTCAATGCCAGAGGGCTCGCGAGTGCGTTGCCGACCTAAAATTATTGTTACACACATAGAATAGTACATGTTATTCACATAGAATAATTCAAATTTTTACTTACGAAAATTATTTATGTTAAATATTTAAAATATTAGACAAGGTGGGGCATGGCACAAAAGTGGTTGAGAAACACTTGTGTAGTGTGTCTGTGGTCTGTGGACTTAAATTACTATTAAATCCTGCCTCTTGTATTACATCGTATTTATAAACGTATTTAGCCCTTACATACAGCGTTTCCTCACGTTTATTTCGTGAGGTACGAGAGTGATAATGAGGGCGATTCTGCTAATTTAATACACCAATAAAGCTATGGTAACGCTGTCAATTTAATACGTTAGACGTTATTCTTTTTTTTAGATTGATATCAAATATATGGTGTGAATGAGACGCGAACCTGAGTATTAAAAAAATCTTAGCAGTGAGCAGATTTAAGATTTAACTTGTTACTGTGATTTTTTTTAAGAATGGGGTGTATAATTCCCATATTATTTATGTGAGTGTGTCCTTAAGCTACTTGAACTAGATCATGGAATCCTTTCACTAGAAGAAAATGTCACAAAATGGTTAAGAATATCGGTTGAACTTGTTTCAGGATTACTATCCGGACCTAATCGCAAACGATTCAATAGCGTTTTTAAGAGCGTCGAAACGAAGGTTTACCAGAAAGCCTGTGCTACTGGTCATGTCTTTCCCTGCACCTCATGGTCCAGAGGACTCAGCGCCGCAGTATTCGCACCTGTTCTTTAATGTCACAACACACCAGTAAGTATAATTAATATTTTTATATACTCACGCCTTTTCCCCGAAGGGGTAGAGAACACGTATGCTTGCTACGGTCCATACCACACTCATCCACTTTTATAACATTCACCATGGTCGTTAAGGGAAGTTGTCCCTTCTCTAGTACCTCAGATAGATCCGTCAAGGCCTACCCAACCTGACTCCACTATCAATGGTTGCTTTGTATCCTACTTATAAGCCGCTACTGATTCATTCGTTCTATATGGGCAAACCTAAGAATTATCTTTCTTATCCATTCGTCACTACGTTCTCTTTTAAATCACACTTCTTACATATCTCACATAATCAATAAATACGTAAAAGTCCTTCTAAGCGCCGTACATTAATCTAGAGTTCTAGAATTCTAGAATCAATCGAGTTTCAGGGTTTAATAGGATCATTTTTCTATCTTAAGTTACTTGGCGAAATTTTGTGACGTGTGTACGAAATATTTGCATTAGGGTTATATTAGAGAACAAACTAAAACACAATATTAAATCACAATTTCTCGTCTTGTAAAACTAACGCCATCTAACGCAATAAAAGGACGTTTATTTATATATACGTATATATTACTTATGTGTGGATCAAAAGTATGAGATATTGTTCGGCCATATATTTATTGATATTAATAATCTATTTTTGTACAAGAAAAGTTGTTAAAGAAATAGAATTAAATGTATGGCGTATGGTAGACAAAGAACAAAATTTAAGGTACAGAATATTTAAAAAATCCTATCTTAACCACTTGTGTTGCTAAATAAAATTTATTCGTATGAGTAGTTGTTGCCATCATTAAAAATACCCTATATACTGTAAAATAAATTCGCTTCCCAGGCTTTTAAGACCGCATCAAGTGTTAATTAAGCACATAAACAAATTTACATGTGCACAGCTGAAGTTCGAACGACCACAGGTTGGAAAACACGCGTAACCACGGACTGACATTGCTTAAAAGGTCTAAATTATTCCAACAAAAAGTAATTGCTATTTTGCGGCAGCCATCTTACATCCCTTAAATCTCTGCGATGACCGTGTTTAGGGTTCTTCAAGCAAGTTTTCCCGTTTTGTCTGCGACGGAAGTAATTATATTAATTACGTTCGTTACAGTGAAGCAGAAATAATTACATAACAACATGTGATGACATAAATACAATAAAATATTTCATAATTGTTCTAAACGAACATTTGAATCGCTGCCTATTAGACGTTGGTTTTTAATATTTAGCACGAAGTTTCAACTTTTTAGTTTGAAAATTTATGTATTTTTTTATTCTGTGAAATAATTATATTGTTTCTGGCGAATTAATTAAAACCTCTTTGAACTAATCTAACCGCATTTTATTACATTATCTATAAATCTTGACGTTTCTGTCTCAACTCGATTTCACGCCCGTTATGTTATATTTTTTTTAAATTAATGTTTGGAAGAAAGTGTTAACAATAAATAAATATATAAAAGTATACAAAAATTCGACTCTCTTCTAGAAACTATTGTAATGTATTTCAATTAGTATCTCTAAGTACAGTCTTAGGTATGATCTAAATTAGATTGAGTTTGAATAATACTCCAGAACAACGCCATAATACCTAGCAACTCTGAAGCACACATTTCTGTATTTTACAGGTGTAAACCCCAAATAACCATTATTTCGCCGGATTGTTAACAAGGATATTAGTTAATAGTGGATTTTTAGTTGTTAAATTAGCAAGAAAATTTATACCGGTGAATAAAAATAAATTAACAAGATTTTAAATTGTCATAATACCAAAAATATTCGTGAATAAAAAATAGACAGCAAAGTCAATCATTGCTTTTGCTTATAGCTTTGATGGCTTCCGCGTTATCTTAAAATAATATATTTATTTGTCGGAGTTTGGCGTGCGCCGAAACGGCGCCGACAGGCAAAGCCCAACTTGGGTCTTACAGCGCATTTTTTAATATTCAATTATAGCGTAAGAGCTGATAACAGGAAAAACAACAGATTAAAAAATGATCAACTTTTGGTGTTTTTCTTAACCAAATATAATTTAACAATTATGATTCTACTTTCACTGTCTATGAGGATACTATTTTAAATAACCACCTATACCTATTACTTTTTTTCAATTATACAAAATATTTTTTAATTTTAAATTTTTTCTAGTTTATGAAAATTCCCATATCTAATAAAAGCTTCACTTCAAATTATATGTATAATTGTTTTCGTTGTTTTTGGAGTTGGTTGAAAAAAGTAAACACACAAGTGAATAGAACTTGTTCATAAATATTGTGAGATAATCTTAAAAACTAATACAAAAACATACCTATATGAAAATTGATAAGAATTATATTGATTGTCTCTCAAATGCGATAGCGTAATGTGTGGTCAAAACCAGTCCAAGGGTCGCCTCGCCGACAAACGGGATTGCAATAAAAACTGCATGAATAAAAAGTACATATTTTAATTTTAAAATATTATAATGATACCTAAATGAAGTAAGTATAACATCATTGAATGTTGTTTAACGCTTATCGACTTAATCAAGGGTTCCAGATTTGTGTTTTATTTCTTTTTTATTTGTTGCCAGCGTTAATAATGTCTGCATAAGGTCGAATATACTAAATAATCGTAGTAGGGCTAATAATAATCCTTTATGGTTATATTTTTAATGTGTTGCATAGGTCCTCTTTATAGGCAAGTAGATGAACAGCTTTTTATTTGTTTTAACGCGAATCTAGGAGCTTCAAGTTATACGGCGTAATCACAAAGTCACGGAGGTAGTCCAAGTATTGGCTAGCGGGAAAAAATTTATTTGATGAAAATATTAATTTACATTGAGAAAATCCATTCAATCTATTTATATATGTCGGTATTTTCATTTCAATAATATTACTTAATATTATACATTTCCTTTCAGCCTTTGAGTCTTTTATATTCTTTATTCGTTACAAATTCTCTAACTTAATTCGTTACAAATCTAGGCCAACATGCGCTTAGCGTAATTTAAATAAAATGGCGGGACGAGCTTCCGCCATTTTAAAATTGATTACACTTGAATTCATAAGATACTGAATCACAGAGTACAATTACATGAATGTGCATTTAATTTTTTTCTGTTTCAGAAAGAGAAAACCAAATAAAAGATATCAATAATTTAATATTTTTTTTATTTTAGTACACCAACGTATGACATGGCGCCAAATCCTGACAAGCAGTGGATTTTGCGAGTAACAGAGAAAATGAAACCTATTCATCGCCAGTTCACTGATCTTTTGATGACGAAGAGGTTACAAACATTACAAAGCGTAGATTTGGTAAGGGATATATACTCTATACCTATAACTAAACAATTACTGCGAAACAAAATGTGAATTACATTCTGTTTATGCAATAAAAAATCTCGTTGCTAGATATAAAGGGCCTCTGTATATAGGAACATAGCAAGGACTATTAAACATACATGGTATGTTTGTCATTTATCATATAAAGCTACTAAACTGATACTTAATCTACTTAAAGAAGAATATTAGCGATACACAAGAAATATTTATCAAATTCGTGTATAGATTTTGATTTACTAAGGAGTTTTTTATAATTGCAGGCCGTTGAACGTGTTTATCAAGAACTGAAGGCTCTCGGTGAATTGGATAATACCTACTTGGTCTATACATCAGATCATGGCTACCATCTTGGTCAATTTGGACTTGTAAAGGGGAAAAGTTTTCCATTTGAGTTCGATATCAGAGTACCGTTCCTTGTTCGAGGACCGGGTGTTGAACCTGGCACTGTGTAAGTATTTTTATCGTATTTATTAATCAAACTTTTTGTAAGCCTGAACTTTGAATGAAAATACACGTACTGTACACGAATTAATAAGTATAAAATTATGACAATTTCTCGTTTCAAACCAATAGTGTGTATTTAATTGTGATATTCACGTGAAGATAATTTGTCACATTATTTTTCATACTAGTCTTGTACTAAACTTGTTTTGTCACTTAAAATTTAAATCAGACGAAAGCTAGCTTATTAGTAAACTTTTAAACACATTAAGCATAAGAATTAAAAGAAAACAGTGGTACAACCTTAAAGGTCTGGGTCCTCAGATTTCTGTATCTGTTTCGTGATCATTTGTTTTTTTCTAGGAAAATAGGAGATTAGCCTTCAATGCCTGACATATGCTGTAAACACTTTGGGTTCCTCGCGATGTTTTCTTTCACTATATCTATAAAAATATCACATTATCAAATCCAACCAGTTAGAATCAATAATCAATATGTTTTCGTATTTTTTTAAACGGCATTTTGAGGTAAATGAATATATTACGATGTGCCTCTCCAGACGCCAAAATTAGGTTTCTGATGTCTGTAGCTTAAGTTATACGTATATAAAAATAAAATAAGCCTTTATGGCTGTAGTCTTCGACGTTTTTTAAACTAATTAGCTTGTGTCTCAACTCCCTTCTCCAAATATTTTGATTTGTTCCTCGCCATTCTACATCCTTTTTATGCCGCCCTCCCAACGCCTCAACGTTTTCCCTTGCTTTTCTTACCATCCCTAGGATACCACTCTGTTATCCTCTTTGTCCAATTTTCCCTTTCTTCTCTTAACAAATCCCACATTGGTATTTTAGTTTTTTACACTTTATTATCTTTTTTTTTACTACTACAATGCTTCTAAGTTATTTTAGCATATTTTTAAGGATAAGGATTTGATATATTTATTTGCTATTTGATATAGCTATATGTTTTCTTAGTAAAAAAAATCTTTTCGACTTTTACTTCGGCTTCACCGTTACTAGGTGAAAATATACATTCCCTTACATCCTTAAACAAGATGATACAAATATCATCAAGAAATGCATAAACAATTTTTTTTCAAGTATCAAATCATAGGAACGTTTTTCAGAGTGGATGACATAGTCCTAAACATCGACCTAGCACCGACATTCTTGGACATGGGTGGAGTGGATTTACCAGCTCACATGGATGGAAGGTCACTCCTTCCACTTCTGCAGCCCCGGCGGAGACGCGCTGCCGCTCGCTGGCCCGATACATTTTTGGTAGAAAGGTGGGATATTTTTAGCGCTCTTCTGGATTTTTTAAAAGTTTAAATGGCAAAATGAGCGCAGATGATTCAGTGGTAAATGACCATAAACATATAGAATATCTATGACTATGTCTCGCGTGTTTATCGCCAATTTAAAAAGACGAAATTTTTTAAATCTCTGTTTTTACTTGTTCTTATTCTTTTGATCATTCGGTCTTTCCCCTAGTAGCCAAAACAAGATTATAATTTTAAAAAGATATTCCAAATATGGCGACTGAAAAGTATGGATTATTCTATTTGTTTTATCCATATATATTTTCTCACGCATAGGAAGAATAAATGATCCGTGAACGTTGAATAGATTTAATGACTATATGTTTAATGTGTAAAAATTCTTAATAAAAATAAATAAATCAGTGGCGCTACAATCTTTTTAGGGTCTCAGATTTATTTATCTGTTTCATGATCATTTGTCGGTGTCTGTGTCTGACACACGCCGTCGACTTTAGGCCTAAGACAAGCCGGTTTCCTCACAATGTTTTCCACCGTTCGAGCGAATGATAAATGCGCACATAGAAATAAAGTCCATTGGTGTACAGCCGGGGATCGAACCTACGACCTCAGGGATGAGAGTCGCACGCTTCAGCCACTAGGCTAACACTGCTCAAAAAATATTAATACCTTTATATATTATTTCTAATATATACATTTTCAGTTCTGGCCGTCGTGAAACTCAAGCGCATATACTGGAAGAACGAATGCGTGCGCAGAAGTACAGCCGGGTAATGAATGAAAAAGCAACAACAGTACCGCCGTTTGAATCATCATCAGAGGGCATAGATTTTGATGATGATTCCGATGATGACTTCCTAGAAATTGAGGACGATGATGATAACGTAAGATTTGTTCATACATAATTAAAGAAACACGTTACTCATTAATTATTTAGTTACACTTTGTTACCTTAAACGTTCATATAAAAAAGTTATTAGGCAACGGGCGTACCTACTTATCGCTAACAAGCGATTATCATATATTTAATTTATCTTTAAACGCGAGTCATAGTTCTCGCTTTCGGATCGATTCTAAATTACTTACTTGTATTCATTGGCCCCTCAATAAAACTAAATCTTTATTTTCAGACCTCTGATATGAATAAATCTTCGGAGCCCCTCATGTCAAATGAAAGCCATAATCCAATTTTAGAGGCGAGTTTGGAAAAAGTGCTCGAAGATGATGCAGCTTCAAATGAACAAAGTTATTTCTTGGGTAAACTTATTAACAATAACATTATTTAAATAAATAAATATTTGTTTAAATCTTATTTGTGATATAATATGATCTTATCGATAATTAGTGTGTACACTGTACATATTTATTGTTAGGTATTGCTGTACTTCCCCGCGAATGTTTCGCCTTATAATATTTTTACTTAACCTTACTGGCTACATACCAACATATGGAACATTTTTCTATGCTATCCCATAGAGACTGTACGATTTTCCGGAATTAAAACCAATTTTTCGTAAATCTCAACTGATCAAGGAATAAATTGAAAAAAATGCTTGAATTCGTCCAGCCCATTCGAGTTTTGCGCTTAGAAATATTTTTTGAGTATCGTTTTTATTTATATAGATAATTAGATATAGTCAAGATCAGTTGAAGTTTTACTTGCTTAATACAACTAATACCTCAACCGAGAGGTGGCACCGCCATTGTTTTTTAAAATAAGGTTAAAAACTAAAAGGTCATAAGGTCCATGTTTCTCATATAGACCACAAGCCCATGAACAAAAAATACCTGTGAAATGACCCAACGTGAATTACGCTTAGAAGGCTGTTACTATATCTGAAAATAGCTCTGAGCACTATGCCGTCATTTCTGAGCGGTACATGTGAGTACGTGAGTGAATGGACTTTCTCAGGTACAATTGGGGAATTTCGACTAATTATTAATGTACGGCTTTGTTATAAGTGTATAGATGATTAAAAATAAATGTCGAAAAACCTAGTGCCGTACTAAAGTGATGGTGCCGGAAGTCGGTGCAAATTTTTAATTCGACGACAGTTGCAGAAGCAATATAGGTCATTTATTACTGTACGGCATTCGTGTGATTCCTTTTGGACAGATATACAGATACTTTACCCGTAAACGCCGTACATATTTCCAGCGGAGCGGTCGAAAGCCAAGGGTCGTAACATATGTCTGATTAGCATATAGGTGATGATGATATAGAACAACATAAAATTAAATGATCTTGAGAGTACTTCACAAATAGATAACATTTTCCAGCATGCCGTACATTTTTGTGGAACACATAGGTGTATGGGGTAAATTACTTTCCTCAGAAAAGAGTCATTTTCCGGTGATTTTTATCTGTACGGCAATAACACAGGTTATTAATACTTTAGTCCATCTTCAATAAAAGATAAATGCCGTACACTTTTGATAGTCCGTTAGTCTGTGAAATGGCAGATTATACCACCGCCTACCAATACAGGGCGCCCCAAAGTTATCGGACATGAAGGGAAAGTACCTCAAATATCGTAGATAGGGTATTTTACTAAAAGAAGACTTTATGTTATTTTTAAAAGTTAGTAATTCTGCATTCAAAGATTTTCTAAAAATTACTTGCCTCGTCTGGGAATCGAACCGACTTATATGTAAAAAAACACCCCTACTTTTATGATGCCAATCGAAAGAATGGCCAAAACCTAATAACTTTTCCAAAGTAACAGACTCGTAGGGGATTTTTTTAGGCCGAATACGATAGATAATATTTTTAATTTGATTAAAAATATATATTCACGCAGGTCCTTTCTTTTAAAATACTATGTTACTTAAGAAGAGTTATTAGTTTTTGGCCATTCTTTCGATTGGGATCATAAAAGTAGGGGTGTTTTTTTACATTTAAGCCGGTTCGATTTCCAGACGAGCCAAGTATTTTTTACAAAATCTTTGAATGCAGAATATCTAACTTTTAAAAATAACATAAAGTCTTCTTTCAGTAAAATACCCTATCTACGATATTAAAGGTATTTTCCATTCATGTCCCATAACTTTGGGACATGAATTATATTTTTATTTTTGTTAAAAATATTTTTCCTTTACCTTCTCTGCTGGTACGATAAGGCTGTAAATATACTTTACAGCCTTATGGTAGTATACTCAGATACGTACAGTTATTAATGACCTTAAGGGACACCTCAAACGTCGTCGAAGTTTTTATCAGCTGTAAAGAATAATCTGGAGTAAAATGTACGGCATCTGGTTTTTTTTGTTTATTTATATTTGTTACATATAAAATAACAATAATCTTTGAAAATATTACTCCCCATATTACGAAAAGTCATCTAAATTTCGGAAATTTCATGTATTTTTTATCATAATATTTTTATTTGTTACCATTTATAATGAACGGCTATAAGGTACAACGGTAATATTTAGTAACATTATGTAAAAAACAAGTTGCCGTACATTATTCTCTGATCTTACAGCAGTAAGAACTCGGTAAATCCTGAAATTTCGATAAATATTTATTTACACAAATATTAACTAGTATAATTTTTGGACGGCATAATTATAAAACATTATTGTCCGTGTTAAATAATATTTTAAACATGTTGCCGTACATTTTACAATGACCTTAGGGTATATGGGTGTAGGGGTTGGGTTGCGACCCTTGGCTTTCGACCGCTCCGCTGGAAATATGTACGGCGTTTACGGGTAAAGTATCTGTATATGTGTCCAAAAGGAATTACACAAATGCCGTACAGTAATAAATGACCTATATTGCTTCTGCAACTATCGTCGAATTAAAAATTTGCACCGACTTCCGGTACCATCACTTTAGTACGGCACTAGGTTTTTCGACATTTATTTTTAATCATCTATACACTTATAACAAAGCCGTACATTAATAATTAGTCGAAATTCCCCAATTGTACCTGAGAAAGTCCATTCACTCACGTACTCACATGTACCGCTCAGAAATGACGGCATAGTGCTCAGAGCTATTTTCAGATATAGTAACAGGCTTCTAAGCGTAATTCACGTTGGGTCATTTCACAGGTATTTTTTGTTCATGGGCTTGTGGTCTAATACATTTGGCATCTTATATTTATATTACATTTAGGTTTTACTTTTTTGTATTTAGAATCTGTGGAATCCAGTATGATCAACGGAAAAGCAGCGCGTATAGCTGCCGAATGTTCCAAGGCAGAACTAAGGGCGCCATGTTCTGATAAACGCAAATGGAAATGTGTACTCGTTAATGGACGATGGAGGAAACATAAATGCAAATATGAGGTATGTATTAAACTTCTATGAAATCAATTTTAAAAATAATATAACTCTGAAAGTAATATTTTATTTATTTTACAGCCGGATGTGCCGGAACCAAAAATGAGCACAAAGAAATGTGCATGTTTCACCCCCAGTGGGTTAGTTTATACTAGACTAGAAACTGATGGTAATATAGCTCGACGACCAGTCGATATAAAGAAATACAATATGACACGATTGAAGCGGTCAACAGACAATGACGTGTTCGAACCGAATACTGTAGACAGTATACTAGAAGAAAACCCTAGTATTGGTCACCTAGGTTTTGTAAATGAGCCATTAAATGCAATGGATAAAAAGACTGTTGAAGACAAAATAGACAAACTTATTAAAGAGACTGAAGCATTCCTAGAAGCTTACGAACGTACCAAAGAAAATATAGATCACCGAAGAATTAAGAGGAAAGCTCAACATAAACATAAACAAAAGAATGACGCTATGCTAAATGAAAATGAAACGACATTAGAATGCAAAGTCGAGAAAGATGGAACAGTTAACTGCTCTCAAGTAATATATAATGACTTAAAGGCCTGGCACACTAACAGATTAAGCTTAGAAGATCAAATAAGGCAGCTTAAAACGAAGTTGGAGGACTTAAAAGAAATAAAGAGACATTTGAAAATAAGTAAACCTGCTCAAGTAGAAGTACAGACAATAAATCCATCATTCATTATAAATCGTATTCAAAACAAAACCGCGGTTCAAGAAAAAAAGGAGCCAGGGCGTAAGCCTCGTCCAAACAGAATGAAACCGAAACACAGAAACCCCAATTATTATGAAAAGAAGTTGAAGCATACAAACGAATATAGTATTCCTACTGTTAATACAAATACACGAGATGGCCTATTTCAAACACAATTAAAGAATGAAGCGTCTACACAATCAACTATTGAGCACTCTATTAATGGCAGCGATTTAATCAATTCCCAAATTGAAGAGCTACCTAAACCACAAGTTACTACCATTATTACAGATAATAATAAATACATAGACGATATAGATATAAGTACGATTAAAAGTAGTACGCCTAACGAAGTCACCACAGAATATGAAAGAATGATAGAACTATCCAGCATAGATAATGCAGATAAACCAACATCTACTGATAGAAGCACTTCGAGTTATTTATACACGACTTTAAAGTATTTCCACACCGAAGCAGACAGAATACTAACTAATCATAAAGTTAAAAATATATCGAACACTGAAAAAACAACAGAATCGCCTCACTTAGTTTCTAAACTGAAGCCCATTGCAACAACATCTAGCAGTTTGGGACCAACAAGATTTGATGCATCGGAATACGAAAAACAAAATCCTAACAGAGGACCACCTAGTAACATGGGTATCTTTGATCACCCAACTGATGTGTTTCAAAGGCGACTTCATCCATTATTTATTGAAAACGAAGATAAACACGTATGTTATTGCGAAGAGAATCGGTAAGTACTTAGCATTTTAACTCAAACTCAAAATAACTTTATTCATATTGTGTGTAGTACACTTAACTCAAAGAAAATATGTTAAATTGATTCTAAATTTACATTTACTACTAGTTCGCAAGTCAAGGGTGTAGAGCGGGCTTTATTGTAAGGTCCTGGGGCTGAGAAAGATAAGGCAAAAAAAGACAACAGCCGGGGATCGAACCCGGGACCCATAGATTCGCAGTCTGGGGTACTAACCACTAGACCAATGAGCCGTCAATATATTATTTCTAATGTATTCCACCAGACAGACCAAACTCAAAGGACCCGGTCAAGCCTATATAGAAGCCGCTCAAAGAGCGAAAGAAGAAAGGCGAAGGCTGAAAGAGCAGAGATTACGCAAAAAGCTGAGGAAAGCTAAAAAGAAGGTAGTTTCATTATTTACAAATTGTTATTAAATAATTTTGATCGTGATATTAGTTATTCTAGAAATGATTTAATTTATTTCTGTTTCTCCTCTTCCTCTTTAATTATATTTTTGATTTCAACAACAAAGAGAGATCTTCTTTATCTTTTTTTTATGGTACTGGTTGCAAACGGGCAGGCTTACCTGATGTTAAGTGATTCCGCCGCCCATGGACACTCGCACTGCCAGAAGGCTCGCAAGCGCGCTGCCGGCCTTTTATTAGCGACGTCAATTTTTAATTTATACAAACATCTATAATATTATGTAGTCAACAGGCAACCATACAAAAAGTCGTCGTTATACGAAATATATTTTTATCTTTAATACTTTTTAAACAATTAATTACATAGGCTGAATTGGAGAGGCTATGTGAGTCGGAGCGAATGAATTGTTTCCGGCATGACAATGAGCATTGGAGAACAGCTCCTTTGTGGACGGCTGGACCATTTTGTTTTTGTATGAGCGCTTCGAATAACACGTACAACTGCTTACGAACAATTAACGCTACACACAATTTGCTATATTGCGAATTCGTGACCGGACTCATCACATATTATAATTTAAGAATTGGTGAGTTCTTATTTAAACTAAAAACTCTTTATTATTAAACTTTTTAATAAATTTGAACATATAATCCTCTATTTTTTTTTAACTTAAGTAACTAAAGATAAAATAATATTTACATATGATATCTATTGCTTGGCTTTACCAAGCAAACAATTTTACTTTTTATAATTACTGTACCCAATACCATACTATACCATATCCCTCACTTCTTGGCTAATTTACCGTTTGACATTTCAGATCCATTTGAAACACAGAATAGAGTGAAATACTTGACGACAGCTGAAAAGGAATATTTCCACAACCAACTTCAGAAACTGCTAAGTTGTCGGGGTCCCTCTTGTAGGAGATATTCCCATTCTTCTGGTTAGTTGTTTTATTCAACATTAAGAAAAATTAAGTTCCTATAGTTTTGACAGCTGACACTTGTTTTCCCGCGGTTTTGCCCTTTGCTTAAAAGAACAATTGTACTAGGCGTGAGATAATTTTTAGTTTGATGAATGCTAATGAAAATGTCTTTTGAAACAACGTCCTTACGAAATCAAATGCTTTGATTAGAATTTATATCACGCTGTTTTTAACCATTACGTAGTCAGGTGACCATTTCCACACACCGTTGACTGGTGAAATGTATTTGAGACTTGAGTGCCTGAATTAGCTAATTGATCCCATATATAAGACGATATTTAAATATTACTTAACTTATCTTCAGGAGACAGCAATGAAGATATGACACGACGTTATATAGACGACCACATTACCTACAGAGGAGACAGTCCAGGCTATAGCGAGAGGTTCGTTATAATATTATTTAGTAGTAAACCGACATTCAAAATCTTCCAGGACTTTTTCGGACTGAGAAATTTCATTATTTGGGATAAAAGAAAATTCGTAACCCATAATTTGATTTAAATTTTTTGAACAAACAGATGCAGAATGTTTAGTGGATAAGCTGTACCATATTTTTAATTTTTATATTACAGAGCCTGGAGATGGAGTGGCTATGGCAGACGCTTTGCGAGAGCGCGGGATATACATCGTCGCCGACACACTATGGCGTATTAGTCAAAATTAATTTATTTTGTTAAAGCTTTAGAACTAGATGCCCTGAAAGTACTCTTCTTAATTCTCATGTACGCAGGCAGACTGAAAAAGTTCACACAACGATTCTTAAAGGGCTTCCGAAAATCCATATTATATTCATAGAGAATAGACTAAGATGTCAAAACTTATGACAGATAAGTCTTCTTTAGAATTAGGGAATTAGAATGCACTTTTCAAAACGAAATGGAAGTTGGAAAGCTTGAGATGATAGTTATTGGTCGTACACGTTAAGTGTCAGATTCATTTCTCAACTGTACTTTCTAACTTCCTGATAAAATTATCACTAGAAAATTTGACTAGCTCAAACTTTTATCTATCTCTATGTATGTAATAATAAATACATTACTTAAGTCAACCTACGTATTGTAGATCTCTGTATTTTTTATCTGTGATTCTTCAGTGTGTCTTATGTACCAAAAATTTGTTATATAGACGTGATTTGAGACTGCAAATACAGTAACAGTATTTAGTGATCATTATGAACGTTTGGTTGCTGCTAAAAGAAGCAAGACCTACTAAGAGATTTTTTAAACATGTAACACATAAAACTAAAAATTAAAAGAAAACAGTATTTCTACAAACATACCATCTAAGGGAATCCTGCGTTTTACCTACGAAGTCAGATAGTATTGCAGCTGTATAACATTTGTTGAATCCCTAAATAAATTACTTTAAAACTACCGACTTATCTGATTTAGTAATTAAAACAATTTCAAATTAAGCCAAGCTCTAACAAGTTTGTAGAATAAATAACCTGAAATATAGAACTTATACACATGACACTGCCTGAAGTATTATATCTCAAATATACAATGTAACATTAGTTTTTATGGAGTTTGCATTTTCTACACTATTTTAGCTATACTATCTTTCTATGTGATGCAGTTTATATGTAAGACATATGTAGCCAGTATGTATTAGTATTAAAAAGTGATATATAATGCCATGAGATGAGTGTTTGTTTATTTAAATGCAGAAAGTAGTTGTGTACTAAGGTTTTACAAATACATATAGGCATGCATCCATGTAAACACCTCTGTGTATTTAGTTATAAATAAAATTATAAAACTTATTGAATTTTATTGAATAGCTTATAAATCCAAAATACTGTCTAAATCTTGGTCGTCAGACATTGAAAATAGTGATTCCTTACATACTATGGTTTTACTTATGCCTGGTTTATCACTTTGTTTTAAGTTTAACAAAATTTTATTAGTGCCATGGGATATCTTATCTTTTGTAGGAGAATTATTTGCTTTCACTGCCATATTTGACTCTTTACAAATAATCTTATTGGCACAATTGGTATGCTGTTCAATGCAATCCTCGTCTATCTTATTGTCAAGAAAGTCAACCCATTTGGAAGAGTTATTTACAGTTTCTTTATTTAAAAATTTATTTTCTACACAAATATTGTCACCATGTATAAAAGCACTTTCTTGGGAGTTATTTTCTACAAAAGTTGCCCATTCAGAAGATTTATTTGATTCATTAAAAGAATGCTCTTGCTTATTAGAAGATGGCTTAACAAGTTTTGAACTTTCATATTTTCTTTTATTTTGATTATTTTTAAATGTTACTCCATATTGTTTAATTACACTACCATCATTATTGAACTGATCTTTATCATAAAAAATCTTATTTTCAAATTTTTTTGGAATCTCTTCTTTCCCTCTACAGTTTATGTAAAATGGGTCTTCGACATCATTTTCATCAGTATAATGTGACCATTTACTGACCTTTTTTGGTGGAATAGGTTCATTGTCTTCTGTTGCATCTGCTAAATCAGAATCAGATTTTTCACTATCAGATATATCAGAATCTGTATGGTTTTCAGACTGCAATTTGTTGAGTTTTTGAACATGTAATCTACATTCTTTTCCTGAGCCTATACCATAATGTCTTTTAATTGACTGTTTTTCACCACACATTTTACATATCCATTTATAATTCTTCTTTGTTTGATGAATCTGTAAACAGTCACCCCTTACCAAACCAAAAATACTACAAAAACAACCTAACTATTTATTCTGTTAAACCTTTGACATTGAACTACAGCTACTTCGGTCTCGGTCTTAGATTGGAGGGGCTGAATTAAGACAGACTAGACTTAAATGTAATTGGGGGTTAAATTTGAACACATTTGGTTTATTAAGTTGAAATATATTAAACGTTTTGGAATATAATAGAGAGCAGATTTTATTAATTAATTATAATATACCTAGTATGATTTGTAATAGTGCTTTGGAGAAATTTATATTAGGATAATAAATTGATTTAAAAAGTACTAATAGTGCTCATTAAAAACAAAACTCGCGCTTATAATTATTCATATATCCCAATTAAACTATTTAATTTTAAAGTAAATACTAACTTGAAATATAAAACATTTATAACATCGTAAAACTTGAAAGATCTGAGGCATGGTTGAAAGATATAATGGTTATTTCTATCGTTTAAAATATTTCAATATTTTTTTTAACAATACAAGTCCAAAATTACGACAGCAATCGCCAATCACCACATTAATAAAATAAACAAAACGTCAAAACAACAAAAATCGAACAAATTTTTATTTCTGCAATGTTTTTTTCTTTTCGCCCATGGCGCAGGCTATAGTCTTTCGACCATACCGCCTATTTTTGAAAGCTGAAACTCAATCTTGACTTTGAAATTATAAAATCACAACAGTGAACAGACAAAGTAAAACCTTTTACTTGAAACTGGCTTAAATTATTGCCATAAAAAAGAAAAAAACCCTCCTTCGGGATTTTTTAACACGGTTCAAGAATCAAAATTGAATTTATAATTTATTGCTCTTGCAAAATAAATAAATTTTATTTTATAACCTCCAAATTTATGAGAAATTTATTAATTAATTAAAATGATAAAAACTTATTTACCTAAAAAGTAGCTTTTTATTCACTTTCAATCATAGTTTCTAGAGTGAACTGTGAATGAGTTACATGCAAAACTTTAAAATTACCTATGTCGTATTATGTACAAAATAATACGGACTTATTTCATTTAAATTTTTTTTTGTAAAGTTCTTAAATATTTATAGAATTGATTAAAACATATAAAACACTTAACAAAGGACGAAATCAAAACATTTTTATTTACTTTAATATTTTACTGAGCCATATCATCACAGATTTCTTACAATATTTTATTGGACACATTTAAATTTTTCGTACAACTTTGTACAACATAGAAAGTTCACGACATCTACTTAAATATAGTATAACGATAATTTAAAAATATAATAAAACATTCACAGTAGTAAAAATGCAACTCAACATTTATAAAATCAAACATTAAAGAAAGAAATGTATATAAAATATAGTGTATTCATGATTCAATGATCATAATTTGAACGAATACCATAATAGTTGTTACATACATTATTATTAACTAACACATAAGGTGAAGATTTAAAACGTTCTTTTTTCGCGCGATTTTTATCAGTTAAACTTTTACACTATGTATACATTGATAATAAAATAATTTTATCCTTGCGCTACCAAGTACTTAACAAGGTAAAATTTAGGCAAATTGTAGCTTAAAATAAGTACCCGACTTAAAATTTACATCTAAAGAGTACAGTGAATGTTACCTGAAAAGTTTATTTGGATATTTAAAAACTAGTTATTTTGTAATCAAAAATCATGTAAGTTTTGTACACGTAAAAATTATTACCATAAAATTATAACTGTAATTAATTATGTACTATAAATTTTAACAAACATATACACTTTCCGAATGTATTAATTACCTTTGTGGCAAAACTGTTTAGTTTAGCGAAACTAGCTTTAAAAAATATCATCGCAACAGATCCAGCAACTTCCCAGTAATGTGCTTGACACATTTTGTCTGCATAAAAATATGTCTGTGGGCGGTAGTACAGCCACGAACGTCAAGCTGTCATGCCGTCATGTCAAAGCCCTTAAGGACAACAAAGAAATTCCATTCCAAAAAATTATTCCATTTAAAAAAAACCTACATAAATGGCATGAATTTTTTTCTTGTTTAATATTATATTACATTTAAAATGTGTCAAAAAAGACGTCACTATTGCTACGATACTCATTACAAGGTATCAAGTTTAAATATAAGGACATAAAAATAGTAAATTACATTAGATAATCCGAATAACTTTTAACTAGACACTGCATTATGTTAATAGTATTAAAAGTAGTTGAAATTTTTATTACTGAACTATTTTACGACATTTATATTTAGAGAATTGAATCTAAGTATGTACACTAATTAATAGTCCTATATACGTATAGAACGGTCACTGGATCTAACTACCCGTTATTCTAATGTTACGTTTTTGAGTAGGAACATCCTCGATATTTTATTTTTACGTTATAGTTTGGTATACCAACACCCCTATCTCTATTAAAATACAGTCTATTTCTCCATTTCTCCTTTGCTCACTTCAACTTTCGGATCTCGAAGAATACGTTTTATCCTTTAAAAGTTCGCGATAAAAATATATAAACAAATTATAATGGGCTGTATTGCCACCATTAGGAACTTACGTGATTCAGTTGCAAAACAATTAGCTAAGACTAGTTTTAAGAAATAATTCGCGCCTTTAATAAATAAAGATTTATGAAACACTGTATTCATGTATGCAGAATTATCAGGATCTTTAATAAAGCGCAAAAATATTGAGACAAATAACAATAACAAAGCAGAGCACAGCTGTGAATTTTTAAACTAATACCAGGGTCGGATTTAGAGGTCTGGAGGCCTCGGGGCAACAAAGGAGTGGATGCCCCTGGCCCCAAATTATTTTCCAAATAAATTTTTTTTACTAATGTTAACTAGTCGGAATTTAAAAAAAAATTCCGAAGTCTATTGTGGGGGACCCGGTTGCCTTCCGCTAAATGCGGTCCTGACTAATACGTAAAATATTTCAACACATGCATATCGTGACAACAATAGTAAATATGTGTTTAATTTGGCACTAGTTTTTTACCCAAATGAGTTTTTGGCAAAACAAACCTCCCGAAAGGGAGTGGGTAGGTAATTTTGATAACTTTTGGCACATTGGATTTATATTAAATATAAATCCAATGTGCAAATATAAATTTTAGAATACTAAGCAAAAATTTTAGCCTTAATATTTTGGCACGTATTGCTTTAGTTAGTTTGGGTAAGTTTCTTACATATAATCTGTTTCTAAGAAATTTCTTGAGAAGTTACTATCGTGACACTCGTTTATCTCTACAGATACTTTAAATGCTTTTTCTACCAAACCAATTAAAAATGATGTCCAGATCAGCGTCCGTACTCTGTAACTTCCAATAGTGAAAGCTGATCTTCGTCGCAAGTTCGATAAGTTCTCTCAATATCCGTAGCTCTGGTAAGCAACCCTGTTATGGCAACAAACATAACTTATTATCAGATCGGAATCTCTATTGGATGGTACAGTAAGGACTCTGGAATATCACATTTTAAATAACTGACAATATATTTTTTCGTGAAAATTTTGTACGAATAATTTAGGTATGAGATGTTCACGTGTGCATAACAGTGGTTCTCCGGGAGTATCCTTTGCGTGCTGCGCCATCTCCTTTCGCCTCGCACTCCTTACGAACCCTTGCAATTATATCCGCAACTAATTTCTCCTCCCGCAAACGCTGCTCTTCCCATTCGCTTGATGTTTTGTCTAGTATTTCACCTAGTAAGATCACCAGAATATTGTAAAACTCTTGCGATTTTCGGACACGGGTTAGTCGGTCAACAAATATCGCGATACCTTAGTGTCTCTGAGTAGCAATATTTTGTCACAGTAAATGTTGACATACGCATTCAGAAACGAGAGTGAGTGCGAACTGTGACTCCCATATGTCAAATTAAATTGACGTACCTACAAAAGTCGGACATGGCAATGTCTCGTTTCTTACCCCAATAACCTATTATACATTAAAAAATTTCAATGATAGTAATATGTATATACAGTAATCCCCCCTAGTATTTCCCCGCTATAACGCGGAGATTTCTAGAGTTATATTTTTGTAGTGTGAAATTTATAATGCTGCCGTCCAGTCCATAAGACGGTATTTCCATCGCTACCCACACAGCTGACTATTATTTTCGTACCTTCAAATATTAGAGTAGTAACCTAGTCAAATTTCATTCGACATACTATAACTTAATTCTAATTTGTTTATAATAGTACAAGTGAGCAGCTGTCTCATAGCCAGACTGCCCAGTGAAGTATTTCCGAACCAATTCGACTTAGAGCTCGTTCCCACTATGTCGTCTGTCGGGACGATTTTTTATCGTGTGTCGGCGCCTCTGTTCACACTAGTCGGCTGTCGTGGGAACGAGCGACATAGTGGGAACAAGCTCTTAGGGTCCTTTAAGAAAAGAGCGTAGCGAGTCTTAAAAAGCCGGCAACGCACTTGCAGCCTTCTGGCAATGTGTCCATGAGCGGCGGCATCACTATACATCAGGTGAGCCTCCTGCCCGGTTGCCTCCTATTAAAAAAAATATCCCCCTCTCCACCATTATTTTGACGAGCTGATTATTTTTTTCAGCTCAGTATGATGTTAACAATTTATGATAAAGTTTCAGCTACTTTTACTTTAGTATTGTCTTTTATTGACATAACTTTTAGACATAGAAGACATAGCTGTGATACTTTTTGACATTCAACACCTTTTGTCTTCAGTCACCGTGACCACGCACGCTGTAAAGCACGCGAAACGTCGGTTTAATTTAAAATTATGTAAAATAATTGTAAATTTATAATAAAACATAACTTCAAAACCGTTAAAAGAGTGTTTTTCTACTATTACTTTTTTTTACGAGACAAAAAAGAGCTTAGTAAGTAAGCTTTTTTTAAGTTTACATTTCAATGGACTACTATCGATGTTACTACCGCCGGCTTACTATGACTTTTGTATTTGCAACGCTACCGGACTAATAGTATAAACCTGTCACGTGCTACAATGGTACTCTGTGGCAGCGACGAGCGCTTCGCAATTCAAGAAACCGAAATATATTCGCTCTAAATTCACTCACCTCTATTGCTAAATCGATCAGGTTTTTTGTTATCCAGTTTAATATGTCGGATGATTTTAATGGAAGAAGTTTGATTTTGGAAATTTGGCACACTCGTTTTGGGAATTGACATTTCAGGATCTACCTCATCCTTAATAACGGCTGTACTCTGGATTACTGGAGTTTCTCTAGCTATTTCTGCTTGATTGTTAGTTAATATAGGCATGGAGTCAGAATAATCTTCGCTGTGTCTGCTGGCGATGTGTCCAATATAGCCTGTAATACAATGTTTGTGTTTAAATAATAAGCAACAAAGTGGAGTCTTAGGGTGAGATCTATAGTGCCTTGGCTTTGCCAGACTTCCTTCGAAAACTTTTTGTGTCACTAAGGTTAAACTTGTTTCGTTTTGACTTCGGTGGTTGCTAGCCCAAGCTAAGACAGAAAATGTCAAAATACAAATTGTGTTTCATTTCATGCATACTTTGTTTTTTCCTTTAAAAAGTTAACAATAACATATTTAAAATCTAAAACGGTACACTTATCTTCATTTTTGTTTTTTGTTTCATTTTTTTATTATTGCAATAACTGAAATTCACGGTAACCTTTGAAATGTATTAATTATTTAAAGTGCTATTTTATTCGTGAACGGTCGCAATGTTTTGGTTGGTTATGTTTGAATTTCGTTGTCCTTAATTGCCAATTGCCAGGGCTGCCGGTGACATACAAAATCACACCGTTATTTTTGTTTCTCAAAAATGGGGTTTGAACAATTACATATAATTAATAAACACATAATCCATAATTGTGTTTATTTTATTTCTGCTTTCTGGTATTTTCAAGTCATTTATAATTTCTTTGATTCAAATTCTATTTTTCCCAAGTCTTGGAACTCCGATACAAATGGCAACGTTCATTAACCGACAAAAATAAAGTCCAGTAAAAGATTGTGGTAAGCAATTTTGGGTCATTATTTTTGTTGGCTTATAGTCAAAGTTTTTGGTAGTCGTCGATTTCGTGGACTTGAGTTAGCTGCCAACACTGGGGGTTCGTAGTTTGCTCTTTCCGCTGTGTCTTGCTCGATGTTGTCAGAGCAAAGTCTAAGTGCGCCTTGTCTCCCCTGACGTATCAACTTTTATAAGATAATGTTAGTATTCACTTTTAATAAGAGTATTAGTTGTTGTATATTTAATCCGCAATTAAAGCAGTGTTGACCTAGGGCCTTCAGCGTGCGACTCTCATCCCTGAGGCTCGTATCCCGGCTGTGCACCAATGGACTTTCTTTCTATGTGCGCGTTCAACATTCGCTCAATCGGTGAAGGAAAACATCGTGAGGAAACCGGCTTGCCTTAGACTTAAAAAAAAGTCGAGTGTGTCAGGCACAGAAGGCTGATTACCTACTTGCCTATTTGATTGACAAATGATCAGACCTAAAAAGGTTGTAGCACCACTGATTTTTTTTTAAATCAGCATTTAGCCTACATACAATATTGGTAGATACGATTTTAATAAACTACTCAGGGTTTTCATACTCGTTCAGGTTTTAGGTTTCTGTTAAATGCAATTATGTCTGGGAGCTCATTTAGTTTGGTATACTATTGGAAGTTACATAGTAAGGACCTACCCTTTAACGATTTTTTCTATAGGCTTCGATTTCAGATAAAACAAATTTAAACAGGAAAACTGATATTTCCGCCTTTACCTGTCTATACGTACCTTTTCTACTTTTGAAAAACACGCGGCACTTATCACATTGAAATAACGGCGTTGGATTCAACGGGTGTATTATATGAACTTTATATTTATGTCTGTACCAATGCGTTCGACTCTGTAGCACTTCACCACAGAGCTTACAAATCACTCTGCCGTCATTGCGTATCATGTATTCTAAAAGGTCGTTACGCACACTTTCTTTTGTTTCATCGTTATCTCCATCTTTTTCCGCTTCATTGGGCACTTCTGATAGAAAATGTACGCCAGCTTCTTGTGTCTCGTTTTCGTCTGTTTCTATTTGTTCGGTAAAGTTCTCGCTAGTGTCTTCGGTGGATAAAACTTCTAATGTTATGACTGGAAAGTTGCTGTCCACATCGTCGTAATATGTTGTTTGATATTCTGAAAGCGTACTTACGTTTATATATTTCATATTATTCGAATATAATGCAATATTATTATAGTTAGGGAACGTTCAAGTATTACGTCGCGCAAATTTTCGAGATTCTTGACTTCCCCTCCCCTATAACGTAACGTGTAACGCGCCGTAACGTTTTCCTGTACCCAATAGTAAAACAATCTTACAAATAGTGATATTAAAATCATTTCGGCTGTTTCATTTTATTACTGTTACAAGTTCTGTATGACGTTACTTACATAGTCTTGCTTTATATACACTCAATAATATATATAGTAATAGAAGATAACCCAAGAAGGTATAACTAAAAATAAAAACATAATTAGACCATATTTTTTATTTAAACGTAATTTGTAGTGTACATGATTCGCATTCGTTTAGTGCGATGGTAAGATTCATTTTCTTATAACTACATTTTAAATTTTTGTTACAATTTTTAATAATACAAAGATTAAGTGTTAAAGCTTTGCTATTTGCAATTAAAAATACCTATAGTAAACCTTTAATTCAGTTAAACTGTGGTAGTATTTGTTAATAACAATGATTTATTATATACATCGTTTAAAATTGGTTAACCATATTTATAATGCAAAATTAACGTGAGTTCATGACGATTTCAGTTTTGTTAAAGCTCCGATAGAATGTTTAAAATTTGCTACAAATAATATTTTCTATATAATTAACCAATATAAGCCTGTATATGATAATTCATGAAATGTATATTAACTTACATAATACTTTAGAATAGTCATAAAATATGAATGTACTTCTTATAATTCATTTAAAATGTATACAGACAGTTCCCTAACAGAAAATAAAACAAGCAAATAATGAGAAGGTAAACAACGTATGATAATACTAAAATAATGAAGTTAAAACAAATATACTGTACTCTAGTACATTATAGAATATAAAAAATAATCAACATTTGCAAGTTATTGCACTAACTAATGATCTATGGACGCTGAAAATGATTTTACGGTAAATCTTTAAAATTCTCATGTAGGTGCCATAAAAATGATTACATGATCAAACAATTGACATTGATTAGGAAAAGACGCGGGAAAAGACGACGTATTCCGAAGTGTCAAAATCTAGGCATTTGCTATCTGTTAAAAATGGTTGAACTGTATCTATGGATTTCGACACAATAAATGCAAGACTAGATAACGACAATCGAATACTCGCCTGCAGCTTCTGTGCACTTATAGAGTAACACTTCGTCTATTCTTTATGAACAAGCCCGACTCTATACATTGAGTGGTCCCTTTATTATGTATTCTATTAAACGAAAATGTATTTCAAAACTACAAATATCTATTTAAAGGAAAGTTAGATCCTGTTTTAGCGAGAAATAAGAATAATGCCACTCAATGGAAACCATTCAATTAGTCTACACATAATCCTATTACACAGGCTGCCAAGCAGCAAGTAGAAAGCAAAATGAAAATGGGTTAACAATGTACAGAACAGCTAACTTAGTTAGCTCTAATATCACAAAATAAAATACTAAAAAAAAACAAAAAAAGTGAACTGCCCGGACGCAATAGAAAAATTCTAATAGGCATAAGAAAACTATAGGTTATAAGGCTCGATTTGTGCGAGTTGACTGGCGCGTACCTATTTATACCTAATTAAAAAATCACACTGAATTAATTGTTAATACCTTAACGGTGAATATAAAATCTATAACGATAAAGTTTATACACCCTCTATATACATTCCTTATACTTTTAACATTATCATTAAAATGTGCGTAAATTTTAAACACAAACTATAGTTATAACCATCGTTATTTAAATATAATAAATTTGTGCTTAAAACCTAAAGTCCAATATTTTTGACATCTTAAACTTATAGAAAACTCCTTAACATCGATATTAAAAATATCTTCATTCTTATCAATGGAAGAACTGCTGATTGTCGTTGATTGGATCCTTAAACTATACGAATCCCATCCTAAAATACTCTATCTATAGATAATATGAAAATTATTAGTATATTTGTGCTATGGCACTCTTACCCAGTAGAGATAAACTTTTTAGTAATACAAAAAGACAAACTTTAATACTAAAAATATTAATTGAAGTAACAGTGCGTTATGCAATAACATTTCAATCTTTCTTACACAGACTCTCTAATAAAATTCTTTCTTTAATTGGATAAATTCTGATATACTCGTATCCTTTTGTTTAAACACTAATAAAAATATTTCGAAACATTAATGTACTTTTAAACTATAAATTGTCAAAGGGACACGAGAAAAATCTAGTATTACAACAGTAGAAAAATTTCAGACTTTCTAAGCACCCGTTTCATTTTAGAATTATCTGATATTTATATAACTGGCCCTTATTTTATTGTCTAATCCGCACAACCTTGTTTGAAGCAATTAACTTCAACAATAATTACATATTAAATGCATAACAGTAATATTGGAAATATAAAGTGTTGTTATATATTAAAATTTCACTCCAAAAATAGAACGAGTACGAACTAATCAACTCTGGGATACCTATAATATAAATCTATCTTATATAAATTGCAGTTAATAAAAAGGCGTTTAAAGGCACAAACAGTGTCCATAACACTTGGAATCAATGGTAAGGCCATCTACGCCTGAGCAGGGTCAGGAGAAGAATGCGGTATTGAGCCATGTGGAGAACCAGAACCAACCGTCTCCAGCTTAATTCCAGGCGGTAGCTGGCCTTCGAGACCCGGTAATATAAAGTAGGTATTAGGTGGATACACGCAATCTTTTGGGACGTAACATTCATGTGTCATTTTCATGTGATTCTTCATTTTGTCAGGCCTAGAGAATTCTTTACAACAAACGGGGCAAGGAAAAACCTTTCTCTGCTGGCCCTCGTGGTAGAGGAAGGCGTGTCTCTGGAATGAATACTTGTTTTTGAATGTTTTCTGTATATTCTCCTTAGCACATTCAGTGCATTGGTATACTCCTTCATTGACTGATGCGTATCGGAACAAGTTTAGCCCTCTCACAGACATTTCTGTAAGTTGTTCAGCTGGGTCGTTGGATGCGGAGTTTGCTCTTCGCCGTATCCGTCTTCGGACGGCTGGCCTTTGTCCTTGATGGCCTTGTACGGTGTTATTATTAATGGAATCGTTTTGGTACTCGTTTGACGTGGAAGCGGCCTGCGCAGCGAGATTGACGCGTTTCCCTTGTCTTTCGTTCGATGGTGAAGGAACATACCTGATGTCTTTGCCTTCGAACTCAGGGGTGCCGCGTCCTGAAATATTGTTAATAAATTCATTATTATAAAGTTTATTAATAATTTAAAACTAATTTTCTATAAATAAAAGAATCCACTACACTAGCAAGTGCAATAAGGGTAAAATAAAAAACCAACATAAAATATATTAAAATTTATTTGTTCAATGAGTAAATTACACCGTGATAAAAAACAAAATGAAACTTTTCTGGACGAGTTCGTCGAAATTGATATCTGTCATCTTTCATTATAGAATAGCACCGAACTACAGAACGTAGATAGAAAAACAAACTCGTCCATGAAGTATTAAACAGAATAATCTAACAAAAATTAAAGAATTAATTTAAACGTCCGTAGATACAAAGTGTAACTTTAGCTCTATACTTATTTTAGAACCGTTTCTAATAGAATGAACAATTAATAAATTAGAAAAACAAAAAAAAGTATTAACTATAATAAAAAATAGGACTCAAGATTTGCATTTGGAACTATTTCGGCAAGTTATGTCATACACCTTAGGTAGGCCACCATTACGACAAGATAGGCTTTAAGGTTAAATAGCTGCCTTTTAAAATAAAATGTTTCTTAATCTCTTAGGCTTATACATAAAACAGCTCTGATAAATCTTTAAAACAAATGAACGTAGCCTCGTAACGAAAAATGATTAGGATAAAATTAAAAATTCAAGCAATTTGTACTGAACCAAAAGTTGATAGTTAAGAATAAATTTGAGCAAAAAAGCTTTACAACATAAACCTAGCTAACACACCATCTATGAAACGTGAGATAAGGTACCAACAAAATACCTACCTGCTCATTTCCCTCTTCGTGACTACAAGAACTTACACAGAAAATTCACTCCTTTAGAAACAACACAATTTAATCTATATTATAAATAACTTAAACTAATCTTTATTTAATAACCCGTGTTGTTACTTTGCTACTATTAATATTAAATATAAAATTAATGAATTTGTAATAACGTCGTTGTATCACCAGTAACAATAAGATCATGTCAATTTACTTAAACCATAGCAATGAAGAGGTACAGAAAGGAACAATTAAAAGACATCACATAGAAATTAAAGTACGCATTTATATAAATAAAAGGTAAAATAAATTAACGAAAACAAAGTAGAAAAATAACATTGATTAAAACTTTAATATATTTTGATGTAACTTTTATTTTTCTTTAAAGTTTCTAAAAATAGTAATTAACATATAATTATTGTATACGATTGTATTTTGTTTCGATAACAAATAATGCTAATAGTGTAACTCTCAATTCTAAACTTTTCTAAATTTAAATACAGTTTGCCTCCTCTATTGTCTATGTGCAATAACAAAAAATTATGGAATTAACATTTGGCTAAGGTCTATTTCACAATATATTTAATGATTCATAATTCGCGTTGAATAACATTATACATAATCGTATATTTAAATAAATAAATAAATACTAGACATTACATACAATACAAAGCAGCTACGTAAAATATTTAAGAATCGCTTTCGCCTGCTCCAATACAATAAACTTCACACCGTCTGTCAACCATAAATATATATCTCTTACAGTATGTGCATTTATTTTAAGAATAATTAATGTATCTGGCATATATATAATAGTAATAGACTGTTCCCTGCAAAACTTACATCGCAACAACCTATAATAACCATTTCTAGGGCAGCTAATTAATATATTTCATATTTTATAGAGAAAAAGGAAAAAACAGCCGTTACTATTATAGCATGATAAATAAATATATCTCGTACTATTTAAAGATTCAAATATGTTATTTAACAATATTTAAGAAGCATATTACTATAATTGCTCAAGATAAATCTATATATGTATATGAATCGTGAATATTCTAGGTAATTTTATTACATAACCTCTGGTTTTCAACAATTTCAAAATAAATATGTATCTTTGTAAATAAAATATGTCATTCTATATTCATAGAGGAGCCCCATTTCGTGTTATAGTGCTCTGAACGAAATAGGGCGTATATGTTTTTCAAAATAACAATATTAACAAACAACATTTTGTTTAGGGACATTTATATTGTCGCATTATATGCGACATTTCTTAAGTTTAATTTAGCACCAATTGATGATATTATATAGCAAATATATTAACGAAAAATACAATTATCAACATTTTAAACTAAAATTTCAAGTATGGAAACACCGATACAGATATTGGTTTTCATTTGTTTATGTTCAATGAGAAGAAAAACGTATTGGGACATAAATATCTAATTAAAGAGACTGCTACAATTTAAGTTTTCGACATTTAAGTTTAGGCACTGGCTAAATTGACTATTGTAATAGACACTAAACATTACATTAGCCTCAATATATTAAGTTTAAATCGTTTAAGTACCTAATCAATGTTCAAGATAAATTTTCTTAAAAATTTATGAAGGGTACAATAAATTCGTTATTAAATTTTTGAAGAATTTAACAGTCTTACAACAAACTATCTGGCGACGTGGCCAAGTCAAAAACTTCACATCGTTTCAAATTTTGAGTAGTGGGAAACATGAGATGACATCCCTAAATACCTACGAACTACAATTTTTAACTACTTGGGCCTAAAGGTTCTATCCTAAGGAAGCTTCTTAAAATAGATTGTAAAGTTTGAATAATGAAAATAAATATACACAATATCCTTTGAAAAATCTTAACCAACTAGTAGACGAATTAACTTTTAATATAACAAGTAAAGGCACACTAATAGGCAAGCATTCCCTGGACCTACTAATTACAATATTTGAAACTTGGGGTCAACTTATTCGACTGTCAAAGTCAATTAATTTATATCAAACCTCTACTCTATAACTGAACCGTGTCTGCTATAGTATGGAAGACTACATTGCATAAATAAATAAGTACGATCCTTAATAAGGCATTTTTCTAATACAGAAGTAATCATCTCATGGTTCCTGCATTATCTCCCAAAGCACCTTACTAAAATCACTATAACAACACTGTTGTCACAAGTAAAGTATAATTTTTACTTTCATTTAAGTAATTTCTCGCTATAATATACAATTATCATCATTTTGATTTAGGGTTTCGTTACAAGCACTGTAAATATGTAGGTATAAATTTGTCTACTTAAGGTATTTATTTTAGGTATTGTCATTAACATTAATGTCCTTTGAAAGAAACTGTAAAATGACATTAGAAATAAATATGGATTGTATAAATTAAAATTAGTAGCTGCAACTAATAAAGGAACTATTCGCTCTTACTGAAATGAGATTACCTAAGTGTTTAGCTATTCAGTTGTAATAACGAAAAATTTATTTTATAAACTATTTAAATTAATCTTAACTTATTTAAATCATAGCCCACATTGAGTTATAACTTCGGAGAAGTTCAAAAATGTCTATTATAACTAAGATCACTAAAAGGCAAGTTAAATGAAAATGCATTTCACACTACGTACCAAGGCTGAATAAGCCTTTTTGTAATGAGTATAGCCTCTAGTTTAAATAATCTGCTTAATAAATATATTTTACTTTGTTACAAAAAGGCTCCGCCGTTGGTATTATAAAATAATATCTAATCTATACTAATTCAGTTCAATGAGAATTGCGTGTAATCAAATAAACTACATTTGAATCACCATGAGTAGTTACTTTGTACCCTGAAATTTTTGTAAGTAATAAAATTAAGTAACAAGTGAGTGCAAAATAACAAGTAAATTATAGATTTTGTCATAACTTTGAAGTTCAGCACTCTAAGAAACAATGGAACAACGTAAATAAATAGATAAATATAACAACAAACGACCGACGTCGCTAACATATCAACAATCTTATTGATAAAGATAAACTCAGAGCTCGAACTCATTACTCGTTCAAAAATTTGCTACGCGACATTAAATCAGATCTTTTCAACAGGAAAATTAAGACTCCTGCTTAGCAGTTTGTTCGTTGGCATTCGGCAGATTTTTGTGTATAATCTTTAAGTGTGCGATCATGTTATCCTTGCGAGTAAACTCTTTGAAACAAATCGGGCAAGGGAACACCTTCACGTCCTTCTTGTGAGAAGTTACGTAATGTCGACAGAAATTGCTGATGTGAGTATATACTCTCGCACATATTTTGCATCTAAAGACATTTTCGCCTTCTTTGATGCAGTAATCTCGCACGGACTCATTGGTTTCCTCATGATAGTTGCCGACGCTACCCATATTATTCTTCCTTATGGGCGAAGGAAATATACGATGTTCCCAATTAGTTTGTGATAAGTCTGTTACTTCATTATTAGCCAAATTAAGATTATTTTGTTCTAATTCAGCAGCAAAGAGCTGTGTGGCAAGAGCTGGCATCAAAACGGTTTCGGGAGGAAATTTGTCAAAGGTATTTAAGGCAGGATTCAGGTTAGAGAGCCCCGACAGTTGATTGAATAAAGTTCGAGCCCTGAATTTTGACATTTGGGGAAGTATTTTTTTACTATTCTTTGGCTTCAAGTTACGACCTAGTCTGTGCTTTTCATCTGTGTCTTTCAAGGGACCATCTTGAGAGTTTGAATTTTCGCGGCTTCTATCGGGATTATATTTATATTCAATAGGTTCGTTGTATTCATCTGTTGGTTCTGTAGCTTCCTGTTTAATTGACCCGTTTTCAATGGAAAGCACTGGACCATTAGATGAGAAATTTTGTTGTATTTCTTCTTTTGGTACTTTTGCGGTATCTGAAAGTATTTATTGAAAACTAATGTATACTGTTCAGAAGATACTCGAAAATTAAAAAAAAAACGCGCATTTAATTTTTTGATGGAATTTTATATTGCATTTGGAAATATTTTAGCAATTCATACAACAGTTCTATAATATTTCCAATTTGCTTTAGATGAAGGAAAGCTATTGGGAATAAGCCTTGTTTTGTTTTCCCTTTACTTTACGTTAAATTATATATTTATTATGGAAGTTATAAGAATGAAATATTATTACTCAAATATACCACACCGAAAATGCCCCTGGCCATTCCTCTAATAGCTCTCCCCGAAAGCAGAAAAGCAAGCAAAAGAATTCATTCTTTTATGGAAGAAATAAGCATTAAATTTTCGATTACAACAATTTTATAGATCACTTACCCCGTTGAGAAAAATAAAGTAATTATATATTATCACTTCACTTTTTTCACTCATAGAATATTCTCTTAACATCAAAGCTTATATCCCATTAGCTTTTCTTTTATTCAACGAAATCTATTGGTCTACTGTGTACGTCATTTAGCAGTGTTAGGTAAATGAAAGGGAAGATTATAATGTATTTACAAAAGGACAAGCCAATAAAATTGTTTTATTCATGTTTTTTTCGCGATTATGTTTTCAAACGAAATCATATCAACGTCAATGTTTGTTTACAGCAGGCTAAATAAAATGTCGAAGGGAGTTTCATTAACTATCACCGTTTAACTATTCTAGTACATACCTGCTGATTCGGAGTCTTTGCCGGAATTCGGAGCTTCGTTTGACTGAGCGTCGTCACCCTCATCAATCATGAGCGCCTCTCCTCCGTCCTCGCCGCCCGATGTTGCACCGTCGTCTTGATTGAAACCATCCATTGACATTTTAACCTCGAGCATTTCAGGTGATCCCCGTATTAACTGGTCTCCGGCCCGGTTCGTGACGTGAGATGCGGTTTCCGGTATGAATTCACCAGGAGGACTAGCCGCGGTGTTAAGTGCGTCACTGGAACTGCCACTTAGCTTCCTCGGCCGACCCCTTTTCCGCTTCGGTTGCATAAGCGCATTCCCTAATAGCGGCATAAGTAAGTTTGGCGGTGCACCTCCGCTGGGAATTCCAGATGCAGGCCTTTTCTGATGCATGTACGGATGTATTCTATGCAACTGTGGCGGCGGTGTGTGCGCGGTACTTGTTTGCTGTTGTATTAAGGAATTTGTTAACGCGGGAATATCGCATTTCTCCTCGTTTACTTCAGTTAGGCCTTTTATTCTTAGGCTCTCTGCTACCTTCAAGAAAGCAGTCAGCCGTTCTTGATCGACACTCACTTCTCCCCTGTACATGAAGTCGAGTAAACTTTTCATGTCAGAATAAGGGACATCCTTTAGTATAACTATGGGATGTTTCTCTTGATGGTTGACAAAGAGGGCCTGGAAGTATGGACTGCAAGCCGATAAGACCATTTTGTGTGCTTTAAGCAACTGGCCGTCCACCGCTAACGTCACATCAGTGAATGTCTCTGCGTGTAATAATTGGTCAAATACGGACAGCATATTTGACTGGTGGTTGTTCCACCTCAAACAAAATCTTTGCGTGGCCATTATTACTCAGTATATGTTCTTTGGAAGATAATAAATGCCACTCAGGCTTAGAACTATATATATCTACAATATTTCAGTGTATACATAAGTGTTCTCTCTTTTTCGTGGATCATTCAACAAAACTTTAACAATGAATAATGTTTACATAAAAAACATTTTTACTTTTCTCATAGTGTTTTTGTCTGACGGGCGCGAGGGGATCTGAAAAGGGACATAATTATACTTTAAACCAAATGTATCTTAGAAATAATCTACTTCCTCGTTGTATTTTTACTAGAACTTCTTATTACTTTAAATATGCGTTGATTTCAGTTAGGATAGCGTTTTAGTAATAAAACAAAATATCGGTTGACAATTGGTGATTAGGAATAATTAATTTATTAATTTATTTCTTTACTATTTGAAATAATTAATATTTCAGTTGTAATCAGTAAAGGAATATTTTACTTTGAGATCTTTAATTTTATAGTCAGTTTTTTCCTTCCAATGTTCTAAGAATTATCACACGCATCTATACTAATACAGCGGTGATTAAAAACCAGAAAGGTAACTAGTTACCTACATAGCACATAATAAGAAAATACGAAACATTTTAATAGAAAAGGCCCGGATCCAATGATATAAATATAAGCCTGCTATATCTATGTTTAGGTTAAACATAGGTACTATTATTCTTACATACAGGTAGATCAAACTATATAAGCGTGACCCTTTCTACTCCTGTTCCTATGGAAATTTAATACCAGGAACTACGTAATAGACGCATTAAATAAACTTGTGCCTGAAGGGACCGGGCAGGCTGATAAATTCTAGTCATAATGCTTTTTATTTCATTCTTCACGGCGATAAATCTAACGTCTAGTTTTTAAATAATGACAGATATTTAATTATTTCCGTTAGGATTTGTTTATATAACTTGGTTTCGGCATGGGTATAACAACACTACGTAATAAGAGATGCGAAAACTTAATTTTGTATGAATCGTACATTCATAACTGATGCATGCATACAAAATGTAATGAATACTAAATTATCTTTTAACGAGTTACTTGAGACCGGTTTCCGTAATGTTTTATGTAAAATAAATAAAACTTTTATCTTCAACAGAAGGCTCATACATAGAACCATAGATTTAAATCAAGGTTAAAAATTGAGGGCGCCCCTAGCGGCAGCGGAAGGAGAATCTGTGCAACGGAGACGGAGAGCACTCAGCGTAGCGCACTGCAGTAGGAAAACATTCAACGATGCTATTTGATCGTATATAACTATACACATAATATAAGTATAGAGGTTATTTAAAAAACATTATTTAATAAGCATAACATCACTAACCGGCAATACAAACCAAGACCTATTAAATTTAACTAGTTATTCCAATAAGAATCCGACTGGAATTTTAAACCTGATTTTTGGAAATCATTATTTGCCGCATATCCACAGGTGCTGACCACAAAATGTTATCGCGGTATGGGCGCACGAATTATTACTACGCACCCAGTCGAGCGCGTTACATTACGTCATCACAATGGCATTATTACCTACGATATCCACATTAAATCGACCGATACCATGCGATAAGAACAATTTATGAATAATTAAAACACTGCACAAACTAAGGACGTACCACACGTATCTGCACTACAATCAACTCGACCCTTTTATGGGAATGAGAATCAGCCCTTCCGCCATAGCCCGAGTCCGCGTATACACGGCACCCCGCTCACCCGACGACTGACAACCCCGCGCGCGGAGCACGGCCCGCTCCGCGCCTCGAATATCACAAAAAATACGTCGTCATCATCGAAATGGCGGCAGTGGATATATTCAGCGCAGGGTGCACGGTAAAATATTGATTTATTGAAAATTATTGATTTACTCTCCCGGCTCATATTGTATGTTGTTAGATTAGGGATGACTTATAAATATGCAAACATCTCAAGATGGAGGCTACTTCAGCGAATTCAAGGTTAACATATCTCTACACTGAAAATTATTTTAGATTAATTTTTCAAAAAAACTATATTATTTTCCCTCGCTAAAAATAGCTGTATATATAACAGATTACGGTTGGAACGAGTTTTAATTTAAAAAATTTACATCCTACCAGAACGTATATCCTTATAGAAAATTTATGGATAATTTAAAGATATAGCTTAGAACGAATTATAAAAATAATTAATATTAAAATAATAACAATTAATATGAGTCATTTGACCCTGAAATTTTTTTAACATACCTACCTTTATAGGTGTATTTATTCAAGGGATGAGTTTTCCACGTGAAAAACATTAATCCATCCGCGCTGTCGCCATGTCAGCAACGTTTTCTATCTCTGTTTCTCTCAGGCAGGGTGGATCTAGCGCCTCTCAGCGATTATCGCCGGAGATGACCGACCGCCACTTTTCACAACTGTAGAACTCGACACCGAATGGAAAATAGACCGCGGGGCGCACTTTTTTCAATTAATCGCACTAAACACAATTTATGAGAAAAAAATTATTGTCCACTGTTTCACGTTTTAGAAAAATGGCTAAAGGATCATGTTTCAAGTCGCGCGCGATATGTACCTAACTCGGAAGTGTTTTTAATAAAAATGGCCTGCCGCCTCGGCGGGAGGAGTGGCAATGGACAATGAGGTCGGTACCCTCTCTCTGGCACCCGCGCGCGCCCCTCCCTACCGCACAGGGTTAGAAAGTTTCACGAGTGAATCGAGGAAAACACTGACGTTACTGGGTCCTGGAGGAGCTAATTGACAGCTTTTACACCCCCACAGCCTTAAATGTACAAGTGGGGATAGGATATTTAAATCTATATTATTTATAATCATTGGTGCACTTTACTGTAGGGGAATTATGTTAAATATTATGGTATTTCCCGGGATAAAAATAAACGTTTTAAGCAACGTTGCATATCGTAACCTATTTTTAACGTGTGTCAGGACTAAAACAGATGAAATCTCTCAGTAGAATACACTGATAAGGCTTATCAAACACTTGTCGTTTGTAGAATGAATAAAGTTCGTAATTCTTGAATCTTTAAGAATGTTTATCGCAAAAATTGCTGATGATACTTAAACTTTTATATACACACCACATCTTTGTGGAAACATCAAACATACAAAATATATGTTGGTTTTTTAAACTTTAAACAGTTATAGCGTCCAGGGCTCCGCGCTGATAAGTTGTTTTCAGGTGTGTTAGCATATTTTTTTACCTACGAGTAGACAACAGTTTTACTGACTATAATCGATGAAATTCTATTCCTGATTCAAAATGTCTGCCTGGTCCATGTCAAAAAATTATGACTACAGATAATCAATTATCAAGCGCATGTCTGTTAAATGTCACACGTTATCAATTACATAGAGTTAGATAATAACATGCATTTAATAAGGATACATAATATATCCGAAATTACTGTTATAACACCTTAGTTTTGTTATAATGATTTATCTGTTGTTTTTTTTATATTAAAGATTGATAACTAAATATTGTCATATCTTCTTCCCATATGGACGAGAAATCAATTTAAAATATTAATCTATTATAGCGTATATAAGCTATTTAAATGTTTTAAACTCTAGACTGTTTGTATAACTAAATAAACACCTCCTAATGAATCCCTTCTTACACATTGAAAAGTATTTAATCAATCCAGAATAAAAACGTTAATATCGATTATACCAGATATAGGTAACAACGTTGACCTGACCCAGGTCACAAAGTCGCTGTAAGCTGTAGTCCTTACATAGAGATGACCCAGTTTTCAGGCCGTGCATTCGCTGCATAAAAGCTTGCCAACACACTTTCACGTTAATAACAAACATGCCCTGAAATCCTGAAAAATTGTAGGTCACACCATTAAGTTCGTTCTAGGCCTATTTATGGGTCTTCAAATATTTGATAATGGGCATTTTTATAGTGTTTTAACACTTCATGTTTCATTTTAGGCAAAGATTGATTTTATTATAATTGATGTACTTACTTACTTATAATATATATTTATATATACTATACGTACGCAGGAAGGGTTTTTTATTTATTTTAACTTTAGTAAAAACTGCGCGAAACTAAAAAGTGGCCTACTTTTTAGTTTAGTCTTCTATATTTTAACATAGTGTCTAAGTACAAGGATTTTAGTTTCGTTGTTATCGTGTTCTTATTTAATTAATTTATAATATAATATAATTCCACGAATAAATACGTAGCTCCGTAGCCCGATTAAAGCCACGCTGCAAAATAATTCTATATAAACCGTATCCATTAAAATCACACAAAAACTCAAAACTGCAGTAGATTGTGTAGTTTAGATGTTTCGAGAGTTCAATGAATAAGCAGATTCTTACTAACGGCGCAGAAAACGGTCGCTGTTAACTGTTAAAATGCGCGTAGTAAAAGCTGTGAACAAAAAGAAATCCTTCAGCTTTCTAACACCCGTTGCCTCATACATGGGATCTATGGCCTCAAACACCTGACAGTCACAAGCGCGGTTTTGCCGTAGCGAGAATTACGTAGAAGTATGCACTCTCAGCCATTGTGTGCGAGCAATTTTTGTTTGAAATTGGTGAGGCGAGGGAGGCATGTCAACGTTAAATACTATTGCTATGTGAAACGGAATGTTTTCTTAATTGTAATTCATTAAATGCATGGTATCAAATTTAAATACTGGATATCTTTAAACTCAATTTAGTCTAACCTTGGTCGAATTCTAAAGTTAATTTGAGGGGTGGCCGTTGAAGCAAATTAACAAGTTTTATACGACATTCGAAACCTTTTTAAATTCTCAAGTCTTTTGTTTAATGATTATACATTTATATTTAATTCGCTAGATATAATAATGATTGTATCTTTACGCAAGTTACGACATAGATAACTATTATATTTGTAGAACAAAAGCATACAAGTAATCTTAAGGACCTGTCAACAAAAGAAATAATAAAGAAAAGAAGATAATACTAACTTATACACTTAGCGGCTGACTATAGAGTAAATCGTATAAGTGAGGGACAGAATAAAAGCATCAAAACAAATAAATTATTATAATATTTATTCAATTAAATCTTGTAAGTATTGATATTTTTGTTAGTTACCAGCGACCTTATTTTGTATAACTTATTTTAAGGTATTAATTACTCATTATTAATGTGCGTATTAGTTTAATGGTTTATTGTAATTAAAGGTACTTAATATACATTAGATTTAATGAATACAGAAATTATACTATTAATTATATTTTATGCAACTTGCAATTCGATCTAATTTACTCTATTTAGAATTTGTTTAATAGTTTTTTTACTTAATAAGTAATGTGATGTAACTACGTTTAATACGAAATAAACGTTATGTTTTAATAGTCGAAATAGTTTAAGTGTAATATTGTCTTCAGTTGTGGCGTAGCATAAATTATTGTATGATAAGTCTTAATTTTACATTTTGTTTGTATAAAATCATTATTTGCTTATAAAAATAAATCAGTGGCGCTACAACCCCTTTAGGTCTTGGCCTCAGATTTCTGAATCTGTTTCATGATCATTTTTAAATCTAATAGGCAAGTAGGTGATCAGCCTCCAGTGCCTGACACACGCCGTCGACACACGTCACGTCGCACGACGTCGGTTTCCTCACGATGTTTTCCTTCCCCGTTCGAGCAAATGTTAAATGCGCACATAGAAAGAATGTCCATTGGTGCACAGCCGGGGATCGAACCTACGACCTCAGGTATGAAAGTCGCACGCTGAAGCCACTAGGCCAACACTGATCTTTGCTTATACATTGGACATTAACTGTTTTAGTGTTGTTCCACGTGTATATGAACCACGGAAGATGGTTCCTACACTGGAATGTGTCAAGTGTCTAGATGATTAGTGTACCTATTGTTTTTATAAATAAATAAATTAAAAATAAAAAGCTATGTATGTGTGACTTTTGTTATAACCATTTAAATAGGGTTAAAAAAATTTACCTTTAAAGACTAGCAACCCATCTTATTCTTGAAATATAAATTATAATAAAAATCAATCAAAAAGAGTCTTGTTCATTCGTAATTCAAAAGGACTAGGTCTTATGGACGCAACTTCTAAAATAACGTAAGTTATTAAAAAATAAAACTAATTGTGTTCGTTTTTTATGTTCTTGCGTTTTTCTGTGAAACGTCGACCTTTAGCATAAACCATTACATCTGATATCAGTTCTACAATACATATATAGTTGTCCAATTATTACGTGTATGTATAATTTCCTTGTTTTTGTTGACGTTTTATTAGTAACGTCAACAAAAACAAGTAAAGTGAACTTTGGAAAGTATATAACATTATCTAGATCTACAAATAAAGCTCATTTAAGATGCAATTTTCACGTTCATAGTTAATAACCGAGGTTTTAAGTAAATTGTAAAAGGGCCCGTCCTGCTGGATTCGGTCCGTGAAGTAACGGTCAGGGTTTTGGTTCATTGACTCGTTTCGGACGTTCAATTTTGTACTGTTAGAGATCTTACGAAGCAATCATAGACGCAATGATAGAAATCTCCCGAGGCAATGTCCTTGTTTTACGCCAGACCACAGAAGATAAAAAGATTTGCTTTCTAATTCCTATATTATAAAGAAACTTTGGTTTGTTGATTTGTTTCCTATACGTTTAAATGGCAATAGAATATTTTCCTTATTTATTCGTTATATTTGTTTAGAAACAATGCCGGATGTGATTGTCGGATAAATGTCTTAGTGAAATTTGCATCGGATAAATAAATTTGTAGTTAATTGTTGATTATTTGTAAGTTATAAAAATGCTTTAACATATTTTAGTTAAAATTATAGAAGTGGTTATAAATAAAACGTTTCCAATTTAACTCATTTGTCTCTTTCTGGCAAATTATATTACGGTTTAATGAAAAG